AAAAAAAAAAACTAAAGGGGCACAATGAAGGTAGTTTTAAGAAGCAAGTTCATGGCACTAAGTGCTTACATTACAAAATGGAGAGATCTCATATTAGTAACTTAATGTTACATCTGAAAACTCTAGAACAAGAAGAAATAACACTCACAAAAAATATTGACAAGAAATAATCCAATTCAGGGCTGAAGTCATTGAAATAGAAACAAACAAACAAAACAAAACAAAAACCCATAAGGAATTAATGACAGTAAGCATTAGTTCTTTGAGAAAATCATTAACATTCATAGTCAAATTAACTAAGACACAGAATAAGATACAAATTGATAAAATTAGAAAGGAAAGGGGTACAATACATGAGATACCAAAGAATCTGTAGAATCCTGGAGATATGCTTTAAAAATCTGTACTCCAACCAAGCCGAAATCCTAAAACAAATGAATAAAGTTTTTGAACTACCAAAGTTTAATCAAGATCAAACTGGTAGAGTGGTCAAGAACCTGATACTGGACAGGAAAACCTAATACAATTATTCTGCTAAAAAGATCACAGCAATAATATGACTCTGTGGTGGTTTGGATGAGAATGACCCCCATAGGCTCCTATGTTTGTTTGAATGCTTGGTCACCAGTTATTAAACTGTTTTAGAAATATTACTAAGTTCAGCCTTGTTGTGATAGATGTGGCCTTATTGACAGAGGTGTCAGAGGTGGGCTTTTTGAAGTTTCAAAATCCCAAGTCAGGATTAGTCACGCTTTTTTGTCTTTCTACCTGTACCTTAGGCAATGGGAAGTGAGCTCTTAGCTACTATAGCTCTAGAGTCATGCTTGCCTGCCAACTGACACAATGCTGTTAGCCATGATGGTCATAGACTAACCCTCTGAAACTGTAAGCAAGCCCCCAATTAAATGCTTACTTTAAAAGTACCTTGGATGCGGCATTTCATCACAGCAAAAGAGAAGCATCTAAGATAGACTACTAATGACATTCTGCTACACCCATGGAGCAAATGGCCTCACTCAGCCATCACTAGAGACACTTGTTTTTGCAGTAAATGGTAAATAACAGAGACTCACAATAGAAAAATGTACAGAGAGTGAGCTTTGGAACACTAAGCCATAAATAGGATGTCTTTATCACACCTGTCTCCATAGAGCTCAGGACGATGTATGTAGAAGAATCCCAAGAGCCTATGTGATGGGCGACTCCAAAGAAGTTGTCTGTCACACACAACATTTCTGATCCATATATAAACTCACAGAGAACACTGAAGCAAACAAAAGGTTTGCACAGGTTCACACTGGAAGGGGTCAAAGTGCTGGGGGATTGGAGGGCATGGGCTCCCACCCCTAAACAAGAAGCTATCTGCAACTGACACCTACTGGCCAAGGAAAAGCCCATTTTATCCAATGGAGTCACTGGGTATATTAACCACACATCAGGGTAAGCCCCATGCTTAGGACTAGAATGTATTTTTGGACAGTTTTGGCTCATTTTGCTTTATGTAGGCATTCTATTTTACTGGTCTTTTGCTTGTATGTTCTGGTTTCCATTTTTTGTATTTTTTTTTTTTTTGAGACACACAGACCAACCTACCCACCATGGAATTGGGTGGGTTAGACAGTGGGTAGAACCTGGGAAGAGTTTGGGGAGAGAAAAAGCATGATTAGAATATAGTATATGAATCAAATTACAATCAAGAAAATGCAGTGCCATGGAAAGATCTAGAGGGAAGAAAGGGACAGGGAAAATGTTATAATTACAATCTCAAAAAAATTAAAACTTCATAGTGACACCAGCATAAAGAAGTTTAAGAAATTATTTAAAACAACTAAAAATTAGCTGTGGTGGCGCACACCTATAATCCCAGTACTCGAGAGGCAGAGGCAGAGGCAGGGACATCTCTTTGTTCGAGGGCTGCCTGATCTTAGAGTTTCAGGACAGCTATGGCTACCCAGAGAAACCCTGTCTCAAAAAGGAGGGAGGGTAGCTGCAGGGATAATAATAATGGGTGTTCGTGATCCTGTAAAGAAAAAAATTGAAGGTTAAAATAATCATTATTATGGAAAGAATTACTTTCTATATTAAAATAATTTTTAAATTTATAACCTTAATTCTTTAATGCTAAAATATTTTAAAATACATTTAAAATTTAAATTTGTGATAATGGCAAAAATATTTAATAACCCATGTGACTTATTTTCCCACCAAGTAAAAATACCAAGCAGATATACTCAATACTGGTACAAAAGCATATTAGTCCTGGTTTTGAAGCCTAGTTCACGTCTATGGCCATACCACCCTGAATGAGCCTGATCTCGTCTGAAACTAGTTCACTTACATTTACCTCCTAAAGTAAATCAAAGACACAATCATACCTTTCTTCTGATTTGGAGGTGGTCTTGCTTGAGAAACTATAAACAGAAAAAATAAATAAATAAAATCACAATTGTTATAAAAAATTATTTCCAACTAACAAAGGAAGCTTAAACATTATTGATATTCACATAACTGGTGGTAAAACACAAACATGCCACATTTTATGCCTCTGTTCTTTATTAAAATACTGTAGCATTACTGAACAATTAAGTGTAAGAGATGATAATAGAAGAATAAATACATTAATAAAAGAGAAATGATTAAATATAACAGTTTAATTAGTTCGTGGATGTCTGGATCGATTAAGAAAATAGTTTTATAATTCACTGATTGTTATAAATGTAAAAGCAGAGTACTAAAAGAAGTAGATTCAAGTTGGGAAACTGAGGAAAGAGAAAGAAGTTGTTGGGGATTAATTTTTAAATTAATTAGTTTTTAAATTAAATTAGTTTTTAAATTCTTTTCTCTTTAAAGTGTTTAAATGATTTTTGGTCAGAGAAAGACCATTAAAAGCAGCGAGTCAACTATCTCTGAAAATCTAATCTACACTGTCTGTAAATGACCTCATTAGCAGTAATTATGGTTGCATTGTGAAACAAATATTTTTAGTTTTATTAGTCTGTCTGTAGCAGCAAAGAAGTATTTGCTAGCATTTGGCATTAACCTAATTCATGATCTATACAAGAGAATAAATAGTGCTTCATGTTCAGTTTTACTATTTACCTATATAACATCTTCTGAAATACTTTTTGTGTATCACATAGAATCTAGTTGGTTTAATTTTAAGATTTATTCTGCATAACACAACAAGGAACAATACAAGACAGTGGGCACTTAACAAGACCATGGAACTTCATAGGAAAAGAAAAAAGAATATACAGCAATATTTAAAAAATCATTTAGGAGACTAGACAGACCTCAGGACAGACTAAATGTGGTAAAAGAACCTAAATGTACTGCAATTACATGAGAACAACATGGAAAAAGAGGTGCTAACACAAGTAAACTGGAAGTAAGTGGGATCTCTAAGACTAAATGAAAAAGAAAGTACCTGAAAAGTTTATCTAGCCAATACAGTTATTCCATGTGGAAATGTGGTTTAACAACTCAAAAACCATTACTTATGTGTAATAGAATTAAACTAGTGAATGATAGATGGTAAAAACAAAAATTCAAATTCAATATCACTTTTCAGAAACAGATGCCACCTGTAACTGAATCACAAGAGTATAAACATTTTTGGAATACACTCCATTCTTTAGGAAGTAAAATGCTATATCCTAATGAATTCTTTATACTCTGAATTTTGTTGTTGCCATAGAGTATACTACATGATCTTTCCATCATTACAGAGATTAGCTCATACATAGATATTTGTAATTATTTCATTTTTTTTTCTTCCTAAGGAAATACACAAGTTTTCTTGACTCATTTCTAGGACCATGAATAAATCTGAATACCTAGTTCGTATTATTTGGTATATAACACAGTCCTAGGAAATAGCATTTGGTAGAAGATAAACTAATATTTTGAACAGAAACATGGGCACAAAAGAGAGAAAACATGCTATGAGAGGGAGATGAAGGAGGGAATCTATCTCAACGTCATTTCATTCAGATTGTTTTTCTTTTCTACTAAGGAAATCTATACACAGATCCAGAAAAATAAAGTAACATTTGCTAAAATAAAGGCTCAGAAGATCAACTACAAGAAAAAGAAAAAATTTTAAGAGCTTACACATGTAAATAAAGTTCCAAAATTAAGATAAAATGACTACAAAAAAAATAGTAACAGGTTCTCTAGAAGTACCACAGCAGGGGCATGGTGAAATTCATGTTGATAAACTTGACAAAACAAAAACTAGAGCAGACACAATAAGAATTCTGTGTGGTATGCTCATAGATTTGCAGAATTAATATTGTGAAATGGTTACACAATCAAAAGTAACCGCATTTCAACTCAATTCTCATCAAAATTCCATATGTATGTATATATCAGAACTTAAAAAATCCTAAATTTCACATGGGAACATAAAAGCTCTTGACTAGCCATAGAAATTATGACCAAAACCAACAATTGCCTGGTTCCAAATTATAATACAAAGCCATAGTAACAGCAACTGTTGGAACCAACACAAAAACAGACATGTAGAGAAAAGTAATAGAATGAAGGACTCGGAAATAAACCCACACAACTACATCCATCTAATTTGACAAAGTAAAAAAAAAAAAAAAAAAAAAACCA